TTGAACACGCCGACGACATTTCTTAAAAATGGAGTTTCCAGCACAAGAGGTTCGACTCCCTCAACAGTATTTTGTGATCCGTTCATCACCGTGCTGAAACAAATCCCCGACTCGGACAGATCTGGCTGGATCATATCGCTGCCGTTATGGTAGAATGTCTGATTGCCGATCACGATGCCAAACTCCGGCGCCGTCGCGTTATATGCAACACAGTATAGACCTGGACTTCCATATACAGGTGTGGCAGATGGTCGGAAGGCGGCGTCTGCGGCGACGGCGGTGTCGTGCGGCAGCAGGCTGAAGGGGTTTCCGGTATCGACATACGCCTGAAAGGGAGTGGTGAGGTTCGATTCGTTTTTCCCTGGGGAACCGACTTTGGCGCCTGCAACAGTCAATGTCCACCATCCGAGCTGGCTAGTGTTGTTTGGGAAGAACGAGGCTGGAAGTGCTTTGTAGATCTCCACCGGCACAATTGCCCAGTCTGCGCTGAGTGCGACAGGAGGGAGTTCCCCAAGCCCACCCATCCGCCATAGGTAGGGTTAGGCGAGGAGGGAGTTCCACTCAAGGGCTACGCTGAACCACGGCGCGACGCTGCCCTGGGGTATACATGTTAACAAACAGCGGGTTGTAAGGAAAGCGGTCGGCCGTGTAACTGTCATTTGCGATTCCATACCCTGAGTGCGCGGACGTGACGGCTGGGAATGCGAAGCCGACTACGCCACTGCTGATACCGTCGCCGTGGTCTGCCGACGTCTATACAACTCCAATTCCCTGCTGTGAGATGGTGATACCGCCCATTGTCACGTTTTCCCGCCCAACGATGCCGCTGTCGATCCCGTTGCCGTTCTGGACTCCGAATTTCTCCAAGTGGATTTGTGGAAGATCGGCGAGAGTTAAATATCGTATAGAATAGCCGTGACAGGAACAACGCTTCTTCTGTCTAGTTGCGAAGCACGCAGAGCGCGCCGGTGAAGGGGAAGGATATTTGAGGATTGCGCAAGCATCCCACATACCAAAAAAGAGAAGAGAGAGATCCGTGTTTAATGTTTCTCGAGAACGAAAGAAAAAGGATCCGTATGTGAAGGCGAATTTGAGTGAAGATGACGAATGTAAGAAAGAATGGACAACTACCTACGAGGAAGTCCACGGTACTTATTAGCATCGAACAAATCGTTCAACCTGTACAACTGGATACGTCTGTAACAAGAGCGGAATGATACGGGTTATGCTGGCCCGAGAGCTCATAAGCAGAGTACAAAGATACACCGAGCTGATGCTGGGTATGGCTTGTAACGGATCCGGTCATGTCGCCTCGCACTCTCTGCCACCGATGAGCTTTTGTTGGCCTTACAAGCCAGGCTCCCAATCGCGCAACAGTCCACGAGGATCGTCTTGGAACACAATCGCACTTTCGCGATTGTGTTACCTAGCCGTTTGCGCACCATCAACATTTCACGTTCGCCCTTGACATAGAGTATGCGGACCATCTTAGGCGGATGCCTGAAGCTGCCCAGAACGTCGTGGACGTGATGGACTTGTCGACAATATCCGAGGTAGCAATAGCATTCTTCAAATTGGGTGTGGTTGCGTAGGAAATTATAGCGATCCAGCCATACAGTCTGCAGTAGGCAGAGCAAGGTGTCGTGGGTCTCCTTGAGCCGTCGATCGGGTGTCATGATCTCTTACTCGTCACGGCAGTCCAGAACGTTCTCCCGTATGGAATAGGCATCGAAGTGACCGGCATCCCTCATGTCGAATACGTGACTGATGTTACGTGCCGGGTGAACAGATCCCGGCGGTAGATCGCAGAAGTCATGGATTGAGCCCGCAAATCTGATGGGACGTAAGCGAACAGGTGCCCAGAGGATGTTTGGCTCCAGCAGCAAGGACCCGACTCCTACCTCTTTCCGTCCTTTTGACAGGTTTGCACACGTCATGCAAGCTATTCCAACCGCGTAACGACGCCAGACCTGCCTCTAAGCTGCCGCCCTTCTGCCCTTTGTAGCGGCAGTATACGGAGGGATAATTCCCCGGCACAACACCGCGGTGATTGATGGTGTGGTGTGGTGACGTTGACAGCAACAGCGACGGAGACGATGGCTACGGTTGCGACAGCGGTGTCCATGTCAAGACGGCGGTGTTGTCACGGCTCGTAGCAGACACCGCAACCTGCGCCGACGCGAACAGCTATACCGGACCCTGTCTCGCCTAAATGGTAGAAGGATTCTTGCCCTGACCGCTGCACTCGTGTACTTTTGATTTACAATCAGGCTCGCGATTATCTAATGCCCACATGGCTTACATTGCGTGCGTAATGTCTCGTTTCCGCCATTCGGTGTCGCTATCGAGCGAGCGGGAAGGAATGTAGTCAGCACCGTGTTGTGGCGGCGGCAATGCAAGACGGGGCGAACATGCTATAGATGAGGATTTCAACCGCGACGGATGAGTATATCAAGAAAGTCGTATTCCCAATTCCATTAGTTTCCAAAACTCTAACAACCCTTGCATCTGAACACGAGCAGGCGTTAACAGATAAAAGCATTCGGGAAGACACAGAATGCAGTTCAATTGCACACGATGACATCTCGGAACGATGGAAACACAGTCTTTCTCAGTTCGCTTGAAGCAGAGCGCATCCGGAACACACTCAAACATCGATTGAAGAGATGTTCCGAATTGGCAGGCGATGCAAGGGAGTCTCGAAATCCAAAAGCCGCCATCAGCCAAGCGACAGGCGCCTCCCTCATGGCAGACATAGGCGGAGCACCGGATCCTGATCTCACGCACTCCAAATGTCGAGGAGGCACGCTGCCAGCCCTGGCCGTAGGGCAGCCGTATGCGCCCTGCATCGTCTCGCTGTGTGACCTCACACCGATCCGACTCGCCGATCTGCGGCTGGAAACTCATCACCGTGGCCGATCTCTCACAGTCAAACGCGTGAGCCCGGTGGTTACGCTCACGGCCCGGTCGTGGGCCATCGTGCAGGACGAAGAGGGAGAGACAGAGCGTTTGGAGATGTGCCTGCACAAGTTGCGGCACGGTGAGGAGGTACTAGAATCATGCAAGGCCTTTGTGATCAAAGAGCCTTACTTTACTCTGACCGATCAGGGTGAAGGCACGCTTCGGATCGATCATCCTTCGGATTTGATTATGTGCCGAGACCAGACTAGCCGACCTCCCACTCCAGGGATGCTCGCTCCTCTGTCTGTGGCCCGCGAAGATTCTCGAATCGCCAACGGCACACTGACTTTGGCCAATGAAACAAAGAATCAGGCCGAGGACGCAGCAGCAGCAGAGAAGATGGCTCGAAAATGCAAGGAGGAGGGCAATGCGGCGCTCAAAGCACATGATCTTACGGTCGCTCACGCAAGATATACCGAAGGTCTGAAAGCTGCCCTCCAACCCATCATGTCTGCCACCGATCCTGACCTGGCGCTCGACATCTCTCGCAACAGGGCCCATGTCAACCTCCTTCTTCACCAATATGACGAAGCGAAGACTGACGCCGTCGCCTCGCTTACCCGCGGGTCAGACCAGCGCTTTAAAGGTGTGGATGGCAAGGCCTATTTCCGCGCCGGGTGTGCAGCGTACAATCTTGGCGAGTACAGGCAGGCAAAGGGCTTCTTCGAGCAGCAACAGAAGCTCACGCCCAGCGACAAAGACGCGAGTGCCAATCTGCGACGATTGGCGATTCGGCTGCGCGAGCAAGAGACCGGAGCATACGACTTCTCCAAGCTCCGCGCCGCCCTGTCTCGAGCACGTTCGCGCGTTGACGCGGCAGACTTCATTGGCAATACTGAGATCAAGGAGAGCCCAGGACGCGGACGCGGGCTGTTTGCAACGCGCGATATACCCGCTGGAGAGATAGTGATGTGCGAGAAAGCCTTCTGCGTGGTCTGGGGTCACGAACGCGAGGCCCAGACAGCGATGACCTATGACGTGCGGGACGACAGAATCCGAGCATCACCGCTCGGGCTGACCACATCTCTCGTACAGAAGCTTCTCAGCAACCCATCCCAGATCGGACGGGTGATGGATCTCTGGGGCGACTATCGTGGCGACGGCGAAAACGTGTACAGAACAGAAGAAGGGCCAGTCGTCGATACGTTTCGCGTCCACGACATAGTGTCCCGCAATGCCTTTGGCCCAGGCAGCCAGTACGGTGAAACCGCAAGCACGGGACTCTGGATCTGGGCTGCGTACATCAACCATTCCTGCATCCCCAACACTGGGAGAGAATACATCGGCGACATGATGATCGTCCGGGCTACTCGTTCCATCACCGCCGGCGAGGAGATCCTCTCCAGCTACGACTCATCCGCCGATTATGACGAAAGAACTCTATCCCTAACAACCACATGGGGTTTCGAATGCAACTGCGCCCTCTGCGCTGCGGAAAAAGAAGACGACGCCGCCGTGAGGAAGAAGCGAGTGGAGCTGACAAAGGAGGCGAATGCTTTCGTAGAACGAGAGGATTGGGCTGGAGCAAAGAGGGTTGTGATCACGAAGGCGCGGCGGCTCATAAAAGCGATCGACGAGACGTATGATGAAGAGAGATACAGAGGCGTGCCGAGAGCGGCGACGGAGAGGATTCGTGAATGGCTTGCCAAAGCGAGTGCGCGACGGTAGCTGTGATGTGACATGAGGCCATGGCGCACGCGCGCACGGTTTAGGACCCGGTTGACCGTCGCAACTCCTTGCACACAGGTCTTGTCGGAACGGCACATGTTGCCATTCGTCAGGCGACAAGTCCGATGACACTTCCACGCCGGATGCTAGTCGCAGGCGGGTTTGGATAGAGCACCATTGGACTACTACATTGGGCCCCAACTATGACCTCCCTCTCCATGAACGCCAGGAGAAGCCTCCACTTCGCCGGTCTTCTGGTCAGTATGCACTCTACGAGGAAGCATTCAGTGTAACAGGGGTGGGGGCAACGACTGAGTGATTGACAGATTGATCGAAACATTATATTGAGCGAGATCTTGCCTCAAAATATAGGCCGTGTGGCCCAATGGCAAGGCGCTTGACTACGATTCAGTCTTCGACTAGATGATATGTCGGAATCAAGAGATTCCAGGTTCGACCCCTGGCACGGTCATTTTGCTTCGTTGGGACATGATAGAGATCGATTGGTATTGGTTGCGGATGTGGTTAGGGTTGCAATTTTCTTTTTGTTGGAGTTTGCATGCCCAACTGCCGGTCTTGGCTTTACCGCGACGGCTTGGTAGTATTCTCATAATGACAGTCGGCTACCCCGGCAAGTCAAACGGTGTCTTCATAGAAGGTTCCACATATTCTATCGTTCAAATTCTCTTCGATGGCTATAGGTACCCTAACACGGGTGGCGGTAGAATAAGGCCTCGGTGTGGACCTAAGGCAGAACAGAGGTCTCGTACTATCAACGCTGCCTTGGTGCAGGGAATTGTTCGACCACTAGATCTGTCGCTCGAAAGCGCAAGTGTTGATCATTTGACATCGGTCCGGTCCTTCCGTCAACCGGCATAAACAAAGTTACCTGCCGTAGCTAGCTGAATAGCGCCTGCAGGTTTGCACTTACTGCAGTTCTGGTGGGCAAAACAAAGGAACGGCGTAAACCCTAGAGATGCGCACCTCCCAAGCAAGCTAATACCGATACTTTTGCGTGGGTGGAACATGGTCGAGGCAAAGCAAAGAAAAGTTTCCGAAACGGGGAATTGAACCCCGGCCTTACCGGATTTCTGATCGAGACAATGCTCGACGCTTGAGAGCGGTAAATCCTAGCCACTAGACCATTTCGGACATGGAAAGACATGCACAACTAGATAATATATACCTAACATTGGTATGATAATGACAAACGACTGGGAATCAACAATCGAAGGTACAACCAAGAATAAACGATGGCACTTGAGGCCGTTATATTACAGGGCTTTGGTCTGTTGTGTGTGTATACTCAGGTGAACATATTCCTTGCATGGGACAGAAAAGCACAACCGTAGGGTATTAGCCAAAGCAAGCCAACCAGAACGCCGCCAACACCATGCTATCCCATCCCAACAACCAAATGAGCCTGTAAGCGACACAAAAGACATCGCAGCCATCAGCAATCATCAAAATCGGTTCCCTCATCGGATGCTCGGGAAATTCATGAAAACTGGGCAATGAGAGAGAGACGGAGATCGAACACTCAAGCCTCTCCACCAGCAACAGCAGCCCGAATAAGCCATCCCTCCCACCACCTCCTGAGTCCAGCCACCGTCTCCCTCCCATCGTTGCGCCCATCAAGCCCGTCCGGATTCCCGACCATGGCGGCTAGGACCCAGTAAAGACCGACGACCCATGCGGCGAGGGCGACACCCAAACTGAGCAAGGGACCAACAGCGTTGACGATCAGGAGCATGGGGAGCGAGTACTGCAGCGGACTGCTTGTGGCGGAGACGAACGGCGAACAGACGCAGCGGAGTTGGAGCGTCAAAGAAGGAGCCAGGAGCGAGAGGAGGTGCGTGGACGGTGACGGGCGTCGGCGGAAGCAGAGATGTAGTGGGGAGAGTAGTAGCGTCAGAAGGAGGGCGAAAAGTGTGTAGAAGCTAATAGCCATGGACAAAAGTGCGCAAGGTCCCGAGAGGAAGAGCTAATCGAAACGTTAGCATCGACCCTTTTTGATGTACGAGGCGTGAGAAGACTTACGAGCAGCTTCATAGCCTTGGACTCCAACTCCCGCTTTTCCTCCGCATCCATGCTCCATCGCTCGAACGGCGCGACTCTATCGCCCGCCACGGTGGGTTGGAAATGCTCTTTCTTCTCCCTGCCCGTACTCTTCTCGCTCATGATTTCAGCGCCCAAATCGACGGGCGCCATGGAAGTCCTGCTGGTATCGTGTCGTAATTCGGCACCGCGCAAACATGCACCTTTTTCCAGATCGATCGACTCGCTGGCCGAACTCCCGCCCACTGATGATACGGATGTGCCGTAGTGATATGGTTGTGAAGTCTGCTGTCGCAGGTTGTGTGAGGGATGGTAGTAGTATTGGTATTGGGCACGATCATCGTAATCCGGATAGTTGTTCGGGCAGCGACGGACGATGGGAGGTGGTTGGGTTGGAAGACTATCGGAGTCGGTGTTGTTGGTGTTGCTGAAGGGATCGGAGGGGACAAAGGATGGTTGTAGCTGTTGTGGTGGTGGCGGCCGTGGAGAGGAAGACGGCGAGGTCGGAATGGTGTTCCTGCTGGTGGTGGTGGGATTGCCTTGTGCCAAGCGATTGTGAGTGGTCATGACGACGGTGGAGGATGGCGTGTAGGCCATCAAACAGGCGGACAGTCAACAGTCAACAGCCAACCAGGTAGGCAGGCAGGACCGTTCAGCAAAGACGTCGTCTCCGACGCTGTTACCAGGTGGTCTCCTCCTGCTTCCGCTTCTCGTTCTTCTTCGTAGCACAAGCCCGGCGATCAGCCAGTCTGGGGTATCATGTCCGATGTTTTCGATCGGAGCGGGCAGTGGTTGCAGGCGGAAGGGCAGGGCGGAGCGGTGGATGGCTACGCAGGCTCTATATGTAGGAGGTGGCAGCGTTCCAGAGTTCGTGACGCTCAGGGTGGTGAATTGGCATGGCTCTTGGGAGCGTTTCTCGTCTCTCGACTTTGGTTCTCGGCGCCCAGATGGGCAGCGCTGGCGGTGATGACTGGCCTCCCCATTGCGCGGGATGCGGAGGGCCAGCAGCACCTGAGAGGACACCAAGACGCTTGCGAAGGACGTACAGCCAAGCGTGTGAGGACATTCGCCAAGTCCTTGGCGGACGGTTAGATCCAATGGAGGCCGGCTCAACTGCGATGATACTGACAGGACCAAGTGTAGTTTACGTGAGGAAGTATCGACAGGCTTTGATGTGAACTGACTCGACCGCTACATCGGTGTCGTGGTGAGGCGTGCTGGAACCCATGTTCGTGCATTGCTGTTGCGCTGCGGTGCGGCGCCGGGCCTTGGATGGAGTCTCCAAGCTACTTGGAAAGTGTTAGTGCTGCTTGTAGGGTTGTGGGAGAGTGCTGGGGACGCAAGGACAAGCCGGAAGGCTTGCCGTTATTTGACAAGGCCGCGCAAATTGCCCTGCCCTCTAGCAAAAGTAGATTAGCGCATGCAGCAGAAGTGCCGGCGTAACTTCACCCAACGACAACAACAACAACGACAACGACAACGACAAGGACAAGGACAGGGACAAGGACAAAGACGTGATGCGGAGATTACTCCACCGTCCACAAGACCCTTGACGCTGACAAGAACTGAACAAGTTGCAGAATACAATGTCATGCCATGCAGGCCGTTGGTTTTTATCTTTTCTTTGCTTCGTCTTACACTGGCACGGCGCCATGCGCATTGACGATTGCCCATCTGACTGAGGTGCTGCTGCTGCTGCTGTTTGCTTGCTCGCTCGCTCGTCCAACGCCAAGCGACAGAACCCCAACGCCAACACCGAAAGCATTGCCATTGTTTCCGACTGGAGCCTTGCGATACAAAGGGACATTCTGGGCACAAGGCTCGCCCAGCTTTTGCGATTAACGTGTCATGGTCGGTGACGACGATGATCAAACGCGTCGTCAGCCGCGCAAACTCATACCTGTGCACTATAACGTCGAGTCACGGCATCAATAGAGCAGAGTAGACAAATTCCCCTCAAATATCGTAACGGTGATCTATAGAAGCTACCGGTAGAGTGGAATGGAGCAGCGAGATAACGTAACGGACCCAATCGCATTGTCACGGCACCGGAGATCGGTGTGTCGCTCGACCACCCGTAACAGCCCGCCAAGGCCAAGACCCGGAGTTGAACTTTCAGTGGCACGAGAGCGCATGGCCAAAACCGTAATACGGGCCGTTCGAAGCCAAAGGGGCCAACCGCAGCTTTTTACACGATGCAAATCGGATTCAAAAGAGCAGGCCAAGTGGAGTGGGACTTCCGAAGCAGCGACCTGCACTTCGCTCTTGGTCGTCGCACCATACTGTCCATGCCGCTGTGAAAACGCGAAAGGAAGAAGCAAAGACGTCTTGGTCTTCGCACCGCTGGGTGATAACACAGACGAAAGAAAGAGAAAAACGCCCAGCAAGCCGTAATCTAGGTATCGTGCAATGGTTGCGCCGTTCTGATGCCGCAAAGCCGCAAAACTCCTCTTCCCATCAGCAAAGCCGGACGCCGTATAAAATGCTGCATGATCGCTCTCTTCATCAAATTGGCGCATGGTCGAGACGTGCTCAAGCAAAGCCGAAGTATTCGCTTCCCGCAGTCATGGCCGTGTACACCTGCTGACGGAGAACCTCATAGCTGTCATATTCTGGAAGATCAAGTTCTGAGCAACTTTGTCAGTATACAGTAGCAACTATGTGTGGAATGGACAGAGACTTACGGTTGAAGCATGTGTGACTGCTCGGTAGACGATCCTTGCTGCCGTAATCCCGGTGGATGTTGAACTTGGAGAAGCCGTTCATGCCCTCCAACTCCTTGAACCCGTTGAGCGGGACCTTGCTCGTGCCTGTCACGAACTGGAGCAGCTTGGCCTTCTCTTCCTGGTCGAAGCTGCGGACCGCGCGCCAGAACCACTGGATCTGTGGAGACGTGGCTTGGTAGTTGTGATACTCCGTATTATTCTTCCAATCGTCGACGTCGATGTCCGGCAGACCAGAAATGAGGAGCTCAAGCTCTTGCTCGTTGAATATGGAGATGAGCTCCGCGGGAATGATATCGTTGAATCCTGTGGGTTCTTGTCAGCGGTGATCGTCAATGCCAAGGAGAATCATTAGAACTCGCCTTGGAGGAAATTGTCCAGCTGCTGTTCGACAGACTTGGTTAGACGCTGCTCGACCACCAAGCGAACATACTCCTGCTTGTTTTCTTCGGTGACGGGAACGTTGCGGCCGTTGGGAATGAGATCGACCACTTCAATGACGCCGAACTTGTCAATTTCTAACGAGAAGGTCTCGAACGTAACGTCCGTGATGTCGTTCTCAAGAATCCAGCAGAGTGACTTGTAGTAGTCGAGATCCAGAGTTTCCATATCCTTGAGTGACACTTGCTTGCCAAGGACACGCTTGTAGACAGCTCTGCTGAAGTGACAGTCCAGAACGCGACCCTCGTAGAGAGCCTTCCCAATGATCCTTCCAATGAACTTGAAGAATGTCAGATGCTCCGGGTTGATTTCGCTGAGCGGGTTCGGGTGGAAAGTAGTCCTGTCCGATGCCACCGGGTTGAACAGGGCGTAGTTTGGGTCGAACATCTGCCTGGACAGCGCGCCGAACCATTCGCGAGTAACACCACCGGCATCCACACCCTCCTCGCCCTGAAAGCGGATGTTCAACTTGCCATACTTGATCTCATTGGCGCTCTTGTAGTACAGCGATCTGAAGGAGTCGAGGAAAATCTGATCGCGACGAATGTTGAGTTGCAAGTTGCCGTGGGTGTTGACACGGTCAGCGGCCGACCGGTCGTGGATCTTCCGGGTGAAGTAGTTACGCTTGTTGTCAAAGTCGAGAACCTTGGAGTTCTTGACAAGCACGGAGAAGGTACCACTCATTAGCTTAGGGTTGTGGCGGACCAAATCGTTGAGAATCTTTCGGTGCTCATCGGTAAAGGTGAAGAAGAGGTTTTCAATGCGTGACTCTGGTGCGGGGCTGCTCATCAAAGTTCCTGAGACGCTGCCATGTGCGGCGCGTCCTTGAGTGTGGTTGTCTTGCACACGACCATGAATGCTTCGATGACCGGTTGCAGGATGGTAGCCACGTTGTTCATAGTGGCGCGCTCACGAACAGCGGTCAAGCAC